CCCCCCCACATTCTCCACTGTGGGGATCAGCCTCCCTCCCTCCATACAGCCTCCACAGTGGGGATTAGCTCCTCCCCCATAGCAGCCTCCACCGTGGGGTTCAGCCCTCCCCCCACTTTGTATGGCCTCTCCACTACAGGTGCTGATCAAACTACAGCTTGCAGCCCCACCGTGGGGTGTCTCAGCCCCACCCCCGGCATTTCCACTGTTAGATATTTAGCCACTGCCTTCCTGCCCCATGTCTGGCCTGATACTCCCCGATAGTGGCCAGCTGGGCCCCCTCCTTGCCCTGTGTCAGCCTGGGGCCTGAGGGGCGAGGGCAGGATTGAGGAGCGGGGATGAGCCATGGGTCTGACCTGGAGTTTGGGGGAAGGGATCAGGCAGGGGGCCCCTTTGCTCTGGCCCGTTTGGTGGAGAAAGCTCCCAGCCGTTTGTATTAGTGTTTTGCTTTTATTCCCCACTCCCCATCTCTGCAGTCCCTGGCCCCAGCCCCGCCCCGGCCTATGGCCATGGTCCCTGGTAAGCGGCGTGTCCTTGGTCCCTGCCTGTGCCTGGCAGCAGTGTCCACGGGCCCCGGCTCAGCGGTAACGGCGGCTCCTCAGCAAAGTCCGGTGGGTGCCGGGCCCCTCAGGCTCCAGCCAGCCGCACTTGACGTGGGCCATGGCAGCGCCGGCTGGGCTGCGCTGGGCGGGGTCGGGGGTTAGCAGCCCTCGCAGCATCTCCTGGGCCTGGGCGGTGAAGCGCCCCCAGTGGGGCGGGCGCGGGCGCACGCGGGGGCTGCGGTGCCAGCGCGCAAAGTCCCGGTAGTGCCTGTCGGCGGCCGTGTGCCAGGGGAAGTAGCCGGTCAGCAGGCAGAAGAGCAGCACGCCGAGCGCCCAGGCGTCCAGGCTGGGCTGAGCCGGCAGGCGGGCCGAGGGCCCCAGGTTGCACAGCTCGGGCGCCGTGTAGGGCAGGTTCTCCGGCAGGGCCTCGATGGCAGTGCCCCGCGGGCAGCTCAGCCCAAAGTCGGTCAGCTGGACGCGCCGGCACTCGGGGTCGAGCAGCAGCACGTTCTCGGGCTTGACGTCGCGGTGCACCAGCCCTTTGGCCCCCATGAATTCCAGGGCGCTGGAGAGCTGCAGAGCACAGCGCTTGACGGGCAGCTCCGCGAGCCCGACCCCCACCTGGGCAGAGGGACCACGCAGCGCGCTCAGAGAAGGGCTCCTGGACCCACTGCCCATCTTGGGCCAGGAGGATGGGAGCCAGAGCCCCAGAGGGGGGCCAAGCTCCGTGTCCCATTCCCCTCTCCCCTCCCCGGCCCAGCCAGTGCCTGCCTAGGGGCTGGATGGAGCCAGAGCCCCGGAGAGGAGCCGAGCTCCGTGTCCCATTCCCTTCTCCCCTCCCCGGCCCAGCCAGTGCCTGCCTAGGGGCTGGATGGAGCCAGAGCCCCGGAGAGGAGCCGAGCTCCGTGTCCCATTCCCTTCTCCCCTCCCCGGCCCAGCCAATGCCTGCCTAGGGGCTGGATGGAGCCAGAGCCCCAGAGAGGGGCCGAGCTCCGTGTCCCATTCCCCTCTCCCCTCCCCGGCCCAGCCAATGCCTGCCTAGGGGCTGGATGGAGCCAGAGCCCCAGAGAGGGGCCGAGCTCCGTGTCCCATTCCCCTCTCCCCTCCCCGGCCCAGCCAATGCCTGCCTAGGGGCTGGATGGAGCCAGAGCCCCAGAGAGGGGCCGAGCTCCGTGTCCCATTCCCCTCTCCCCTCCCCGGCCCAGCCAATGCCTGCCTAGGGGCTGGATGGGAGCTGGTGCAGCAGAGAGAGAAAAGGGTCTATGGGAGGGCCCTAAACCCCATCCTCTGAGCCAGCCAGTCCCTGCCCTGAAACCCAGGGGGAGCCAGCACCCCAAGAGGGGAAGGCCACGTCCCACTGCCCACGCCCTGTGCCAGCCAGCCCCTGCCCTGGGGCTGGGTGTGGACCGGCGCCCCCTCGAGGGAAAGGCCCTGTGTCCCATGTCTACCCCCGCCCACCCCCGTGGTACCTGCGGCTGCAGCAGGGCGAAGAGGTCCCTGGCAGGGGCGATCTCCTGCGCGAAGACGTAGTGGTGCGCCGTCTGGAAGGCGATGCCCAGGGCGCCTGCGATGCAGGGGTGGGTGGCCAGGCTCAGCGAGATGCAGTATTCGCTCAGGAAGCCCCGCAGCTCAGTGTCCCGCTTCTCGATGAACTTCAGCGCCAACGGCCGGCCTGGGGGGAGGGGCAGAGCGAGGGGTCAGGGCTGCCCCTGCCCCCGTAAGAATGTACCTCTCCCCTCGCTGGCCCAGACCCCGCCCCTCCTTGGATCAGCCCTCCCTTCCCCACCCCATACAGCCCTGTGGGGCCAAGAGCTGCCAGACTAGGATCCTGGGGCCTGGCAGCTCGTGGGGACTTGGGGGCAGAGCTCTCCCTCCCCAGCTGCAGCCCATCAGGGTGGGCGTGTGGCGCTGGCGCTCCCGGGGGAACAGGAGCGGTAGGGTGTGTGGGAGAGAGGGCCCCTTGGGCACAGACTGGCTCCCTCACCAGCCCAGGCCCTACCTTGCAGCTGGTGCACGGCCAATAGCACCTGGCCGAAGGAGCCTCTGCCCAGCTCTCTCAGGACCGTGTACGACTCGGTCACCTCCAGATGGGGCAGGTTCTGCGCCGTCAACTCCATCATCTCCTCCAGCTGCTGCTCCACGCCCCATGGGGCGGGCAGGGCCATAGCTGCAGGACAAGGGACTGGGGTGTGACCTCCGGGAGCAGTGTCCAGACAGCCCACCCGGGGTACCATGTTATTGGCCTTAGACCGCCCAGGCCCTGCTCCGCCTGGGTGCCTGGGGCCCTGCCCAGCAGACAAGTCCCCCGCAGGACTCGGGGTAAGTTGGACTCGCTGGGCAGAGCTTGTGGGGTGGAGCAGGAGGCTGGAGCCCAGGATTCATTCTTGGGGAGACCCCTCGGTGGGGGAGGGGAGCTGGCACTGCAGGATTTTTCCAAGAGACAGTTTAAAAGCTGAGGCCTATAGATCCGTGTACACAGGGACCCCCGCCCCTGGCACTGAGCTGCGACTGCCTCCAGGGAGGGCATGGGGCTGTTTATACACGGACCCTCGCTCAGAGGTGAAATGCAGCCACCTCTGGGGCGGGGTGCAGAGGCTGTTTCACACAAGAGTAATGGCCCCTCGAGGCCTGACAGCTGCTTCCCCCCATGGGTCCGGGGGCACCAAGTTCTGGCTTTCTGTAGCTGTGAACCAAGGAGGCATGGCTCCCCCCTTGGGCTCTCCTTCCAGCTTGTGGAGGCCGGGCAGACTGACTCAAGGCCCCACTGATGCGCTGCCTCTGGGGATGAGCAGCTCTGTTAATGACGCCTTCCTGCCCCACTAAGCCTGAATTGCCCCAGACTCCTCTACAACCCTGGAGCCCTGGGCCAAATCATACTAGCAGCAAACCCGCTATAACTTCTTCATGTAGGCAAGGCTTTAGGCAGAGCTAGGAGGCAACCTAGGCAGCCTGGCTCCTGCTCTAACCATTAGACCCACTTCCCTCCCAGAGTCAGAGCTAGAACCCAGGATTTCCAGTGCCTAACCGCCTGCTCTAGCCACTAGACCCTACTTCCATGCCAGAGCCAGAACCCAGGAGTTTCAGCTCTTAGCCTCCTGCTCTAACCACTAGACCCCACTTCCCTCCCAGAGCCAGGGATGGCTTCTACTGGTGTCAGTGCCCCCCAGCACCATGTGCAGTGGAAGCAGGAACAGCAGCCCCAGATACCCTTTGGCATCTTCAGGCAGGGAGCTGCCAACAGCAAGAGGGGGAAACACCAAAATGACCTGCCCGGGAGCTTGGGGGTGCCGGGCTGCAGGGGGGCCCCACTTACCTGCCTCCTGCTAAGCTACTCACAGGGGAGCTGCTGATTCCAGCCCCTTTACTTCCCTGCCTCTGTGCGTCTGCCCAGTGGCCCAGGCTGAGCCTTTTATCCCGTCAGCCCCGGGCTGGAGAGGGTCCCGTGGTGCCTGGCAGGTCCCAAGCAGCAGTGTGAGCCAGGGGTCAGGTGCGGTCAGTGCCGGGGGCTGGCATTCACTGGGCGGGGATTAGCAGGCACTTATCTGGGTTATTTTTACCAGCTGGCACTGAATGCCCCAGCCCCCACTCTGGTTTACTGCTCCCTTCACCTGGCCCCCCATTACGAGCTTGTCCCAGGTGTTCCTGGAAAGTCAGCTCCTGGAGGTAGGGGAGCCCCCCACCCTGGTAGCCCATAGGGAAGCTGCAGGGGGAGGGACAGGGCAGAGGCCCCGCTGGAGTCAAGCTCCAGGGAACACTTTCACCCCCAACAGATCCCAAAACATTTTCTGCCACTCTCTGGGCTGTTTATACCGGAACCCCTCAGCCAACACTGAGATGCAGCCACCTCTGGGGTGGGGCATGGGAGCTGTTAATACAGGAACCCCTCACCTGACCCTGCAGCCACCTCTGGGGAGGGGCATAGGAGCTGTTAATACAGGAAGCCCTCACCCGATCCTGCAGCCACCTCTGGGGTGGGGCATGGGAGCTGTTAATACAGGAACCCCTCACCTGACCCTGCAGCCACCTCTGGGGAGGGGCATAGGAGCTGTTAATACAGGAAGCCCTCACCCGATCCTGCAGCCACCTCTGGGGTGGGGCATGGGAGCTGTTAATACAGGAACCCCTCACCTGACCCTGCAGCCACCTCTGGGGAGGGGCATAGGAGCTGTTAATACAGGAAGCCCTCACCCGATCCTGCAGCCACCTCTGGGGTGGGGCATGGGAGCTGTTAATACAGGAACCCCTCACCTGACCCTGCAGCCACCTCTGGGGAGGGGCATAGGAGCTGTTAATACAGGAAGCCCTCACCCGATCCTGCAGCCACCTCTGGGGTGGGGCATGGGAGCTGTTAATACAGGAACCCCTCACCTGACCCTGCAGCCACCTCTGGGGAGGGGCATAGGAGCTGTTAATACAGGAAGCCCTCACCCGATCCTGCAGCCACCTCTGGGGAGGGGCATGGGAGCTGTTAATACAAGAACCCCTCACCCGATCCTGCAGCCACCTCTGGGGAGGGGCATGGGAGCTGTTAATACAGGAACTCCTCATCCAATCCTGCAGCCACCTCTGGGGTGGGGCATGGGAGCTGTTAATACAGGAACCCCTCACCCAATCCTGCAGCCACCTCTGGGGTGGGGCATGGGAGCTGTTAATACAGGAACCCCTCACCCAATCCTGCAGCCACCTCTGGGGTGGGGCATGGGAGCTGTTAATACAGGAACCCCTCACCCAATCCTGCAGCCACCTCTGGGGTGGGGCATGGGAGCTGTTAATACAGGAACCCCTCACCCAATCCTGCAGCCACCTCTGGGGTGGGGCATGGGAGCTGTTAATACAGGAACCCCTCACCCAATCCTGCAGCCACCTCTGGGGTGGGGCATGGGAGCTGTTAATACAGGAACCCCTCACCCAATCCTGCAGCCACCTCTGGGGTGGGGCATGGGAGCTGTTAATACAGGAACCCCTCACCCAATCCTGCAGCCACCTCTGGGGTGGGGCATGGGAGCTGTTAATACAGGAACCCCTCACCCAATCCTGCAGCCACCTCTGGGGTGGGGCATGGGAGCTGTTAATACAGGAACCCCTCACCCAATCCTGCAGCCACCTCTGGGGTGGGGCATGGGAGCTGTTAATACAGGAAGCCCTCACCCCACACTGCCGCCACCTCTGGGGTGGGGCATGGGCACTGTTTACAAAGGAACCCCTCTCCTGGTGCTGAGTCCCCCCATCATCAGTCCCCCACCCTCTGAGTGGGACACAACCTCTTTGGCACGGGGGCCTTACCCATGGGAGCAGCTTGGCTCGGGAGCACCATGCCCGGCCGGAACAAGGCCAGGCTGGGCTACATTTTGCAGCACCAGACCTGTGGGGTGGGTGTGTGAGTGGTGGTCTAGCACCTGGGCAGGCTGCGTGGGCATAGGGAGGTGGAGAGGGGGCGTTTCTCAAGCAGGAAGGGGGCTGGGATTGTCCAGGATGCTGAGACACCAGAGAATATGTCCGTCAGCCCCTCCCCCACAAAGTGGAAATCCCAGCAACAGTTTGGACTTTGTGTGACTTTTGGTCAGACTGATCTGAGACCCCCTTCACCACACAGGGGCACTAGGGTCGGCGCTATGGGGGCGTGACCCCAGGCAGCCCCCCGTCCCACCACTGAATTGCTCTGAGTAGGCTATTCCAGGGGGCTGGGAGCCCCGACTGCTGATGCACGCCTCCCATGCCTTTGCTATCCCCATGACCCCTGCAGATCCTGCCCTGGCTGCAAGGTATGGGGCAGCGAGGGGAGGGCCCTGCCAGCCCAGGGAGCTGCTGAGACTGGGGTTGGCAGGGGAAGCTTGGGTTGCCATGATCAACAGACCCCTGCCACGGCCAAGTACCGTGGGGTGGCTCCCTCTGTTGTTTTCCCAGGTCTCTGGGTGGCAGGAGGGCAAAGGAGGACTGGGAGCGGGGCAAGGGACGGCTCAGGGGGGCAGAGACTTGGCCCATTCCTCTTCCCAGAACCATGGCAACTTGGCCACAACAAGGGCCTATTCTAGGATCCCCTTGGGGGCATTTGTGCTGGTACCATGACAACGGCCCCAATACAGCACATGGTATTTGCTCTGGGCGGGGGTGGGAGGGGCAGGGAGAGCATGTGACTCCCCTATCTTCAGCCCCCCCACCTGCGGGCCAGAAGCAACCTCTTCAGCACAGGGCCTCACCTGTGGGAACAGCTTGGCTTGGGGCCACCATAACCAGCAGAACAAGGCCAGGCTGGGCCACACTTTGCAGGCCCAATACCACTGAACAGGGCACTACAGACTTGCTGAGGGATGCCACTCCCGCTTCCAGGCATTAGAACCAGGGCCATGTTCCTGCCCTCTGCCTGAGGACCAAACCCTATGGACACCAAATCGCCTTGGTGTAGCATGAGGGATGTTTATAAAGGGACCCCTTGCCCCGCACGGAGATGCAGCCACCTCTACTGTGATGCAGCTGTTTATACAGGGCCCCCGTACCCTATGTTGAAATGCAGCTGCCTCTGGGGTGGGGCAGCTGTGTATAAAGAGACCCCGCACCTAGTCATAGAATCATAGAATACTAGGACCGGTAGGGACCTCGAGAGATACAACTCCACGTGGGCTATAGAAGTTTGTCCAGGACGCAGGTTTCACCCTCAGACTCCAGGGGAAAATGCCCTGAGTTGTACAACCCTACGGAAGAGTCAGGATCCTTAGTGTGAGTTTTTCAACACCAGACATCAGGTCCAAGAGGGGCAGCTGGCACCAGGGCCAGCAGTGACTGTGAGGGGAGAGAACCCTGGGCCAAAGGTGGGAGTTGTCTGGAGCATTTTATGAACTTTCTGATCTCCTTGCAGACGACAGCTCAAGACCGAGTGCCACCAGGAGGGCTGCCCAAGCTGGCATGGCACAGGGGAAGGCAGAGGCAGGCTGGTATGGTTCACCGATTGTTCCTGGTAAGGCAAGATTTCACAGACTCCTAGAAGATGAGGTTTGGAAGAGACTACAGGAGTCATCGAGTCCAGCCCCCTGCCCAAATAGGACCAACCCAACTCAGTCCTCCTAGCCAGGACTTTGTCAAGCCAGGACTTCAGAACCTCCCTAGGGAACCCACCCCAGTGCTTCCCCACTCTCCTAGGGAAATTGTTTTCCCCAATATCCAACCTAGCCCTCCCCCACTGTGTTAGTCTGGCAGAGCTGTGAACAACGTGCTGGCAGCTGACCCGGCTTGGTGGCAGCAGAACGCTCACCAGCTGAGGCAGCAGGGTAACAGTGTCTGACAATTCTGGGAACCCTGCGCAGCTCCTCAAAGATGGAGAAATTCCCGTTTGTTGCCTGCTCATAGAACCAAAGCAAAATAGCCCCGGGGTGGGGAGAAGAGTGTGCCCCAGGGGAAGGGCTGGGGTGGGACTCCGTTCTGCTGCTCCCGCCCAGGTTTGGGGGTGAGCCCTAGGACAGAGTAGAAACGTGGATCGTCCAGTCTCTCATTTCCAGGCCTTCCCAGAGCTAAGGGACAATTCCTTTGCTCCTCCCATGTAGTTCACCTCCCCCAGGGGCTGCAGTTTGTGCTGGGGGTTGCTGCCAGCAGGCCCTTCAGCCTGGCATCCAGGCAGGCCGTGCAAAGCGCCTGCCACTGGAGGGAGCCCATGGGTGAGAGATACGGAACCTGGCTCCCCGTGCCAAGGTGGCAGCGAACTGTGACCCTGCTGCATTTACACCCTTGATGTGTATTGTAGTGAGGGTTGGAAAAGGGCTTGGTCAGGTGACCACTAACTGCTGGATACTAATCTCTCTGGCTATGTCTACACTGCAGAGTTTTTCTGCAAAAACTCACAGAGCATCTACACCTCAAGCACATTTTTGCGCAAAAAAAGAGCTTTTGTGCAAACAGGTGTGTGTGGACAGGGAACGGGGGTTTTGCACAAAAAGAGGCAATCAAAAAAAGCCCAGGTGCCCATTCTGTAAATAGCAATCAGTTTCCTTTTGAGAGCGTGTCAGGGAACTGAGCCAGTCTCACTCCTTGAGCCATGTTCTGCCTGGCAAAGTGTCCTTACTTCCCCCACCCTGGCTATGGTCCTGTATCCCAGCAATCTGCCAGTCCCAGCACCACAGACCTTGCAGAGGCAATGCCATGGGTCGCTGAGATTGCCCTAGTCCCACTGGCTGAAGTCAGGGTCTCTCTGTGAGGTCATCGCCTCCATACCACCTCTGTCCAATAGGCTGAGATCCTGCACAAGACCCTTGTGATGTCATTGCCACACCCACCCTGCCCTGGCAGTGTTAATGTCCTGCTCTTTGCCAGCCACATTGGGGCTATGTCTACACTGGCAGGTTCTTGTGCAAAAACTTGCCGGGTATCTACACTGCGCGTGTGTTCTTGCACAAGTAAATTTACAGTACAGTGTCGGAAAACAGGGCTTCTTCCGGAAGAGTTATTCCTCTCCTCACGAGGAATAAGCCTTTTTGCACAAGAGCTCTTGTGCAAGAGGGCAGTGTAGACAGGCAGCATGAATTTCTTGCACAAGAAACCCCTATGGCTAAAATGGCCATCAGAGCTTTTTTGCACAAAAGAGCGTCCATGCTGCCATAGATGCTCTTGCACAAAAGCACATCTCTTGCGCAAAAGCACATGCCAGTGTAGACATGCTCTCGTGGAAAACTTTTTGCACAAGAACTCTTCTGCAAAACAGTTCTTGTGCAAGAAGCTGCTAGTGTAGATGTAGCTGGATGTTTGAGCTACTCCCCATGGATTACCCCACACAGAGTGTTCATTCTAGGCAGCAATCTGGCTCACCTGTAAAACATGAAAGGCTGCTCCACTCATGTTTTTATGAATTAGCTGATGGTCTGGCAAGAAGGAATCATTAGAACATCTAATCTGACCTCCTTCATTTCCTAGGCCTTCTGGATGGCAGAAGAGCTGTCCTGTTCACACCTGGCATTGGCCACTGTCAGGAGACAGGATACAGGGCTAAATGGAACTTTGGTCTGACCCAGTATGGCCGCTCTTATGTTCTTATGAGGGCTGCCTACCACTTTTCCATACTGTGTTGCCTAGTGCAGCAGTCTGGGAGCTGACCTTGTCTGTGAAGAGACAAAAAAAGCATTGAGTTCTTCAGCTTTCCACACATCGTCTGTCACTAGGTTACATCCATCATCCAGTAAGGGCCCCACACCCTCTCTGATCACCCTCTTATTGCTAACATGCCTGTAGAAACCTTTCTTGTTACCCATTACTTCCTTTGCTAACTGCAATTCCAATTGCGCTTTTGCCTTCCTGATTATATCCCTGCATTTTTGAGCAATATAGTTATACTCCTCCTTAGTGAACTGTCCAAGTTTCCACTTCTTATAAGCTTCCTTTTTGTGTTTAAGCTCACCAAGGATTTCACTGCTACCACGTTTGCTTTTTTTACTGTGCATCAGGATGGTTTGTTCCTGGGCCTTCAATAAGGCTTCTTTAAAATACTGCCAGTTCTCCTGGACTCCCTTCCCCTTCATGAGAACTGGGTTCAACATTCCAGTGTCAGTCTCCCCAAGGCTGGATCACGTCCTGTTCTATACTCACTCCTATAAGCCACCAAGGATGACTTTAATCTTTCTTACTACAGCTCCACACTGAGATCACCTGTGGAGCGGCTTGTCCACTCTGGCCCCCAAATCCTTTTCAGAGTCACTGCTTTCCAGAGGCATAGGTGCAGCCTGACTCCTTTGGTCCTTAGGTTTGCATATGACTTTATTAAAACTAGGAATGTAAGTGACAAGTTGACTACCCGATAAGCAAACGCTTATTGGATAGTCAAGTAGGACCTCGACTAGTCACTTCCCCGCCCTTTCTGCCTCTACCAGAGAGAGGCAGCAAGGGGGGGGGGGGGGGAGCACGAGCAGGTGCTGGGAGGAGCCAGCTTAAAAGCAGGTTCCCCCCAGCACCATCTCCGCAGGGGGCAGAGGAGGCAGAGGGCAGTAGGGATTGAAACAGTCCTGCTCCCACCAGGTCCTGGCGGCTGCTCCTCTCCCTTTGAAATGTACAAAAGCCATGGGTAGCTCTTGTGCATTTCAAAGGGAGAGAGGCAGCAGGATAGCGAGCATTTAACATCCCTAATTAAAACCTCATTGTTCAGTATTTTAGAAGAACTAGACCATTAGAGAATCATGAACTTCTCAGAGACAATGAATGGAGGGAAGCAGCCAGAGTACTCACATACATGTTTGGATAAGACTCATTTCCTTGGTCCTAAAAGAGAATAGCAAGGGCATGAGCCTCCTCCTTTTCAATAGCCCCATGCTTGCTCAATCAGTGTTAAGACTCTGAGACTGTGGTAGGAGTCACCTGATGTCCCCAAGATGGGCCAGGTCACCACCGGAGAGCATCGCTCTTGGAGCACTCTTCTAGAATGACCCCTTTATGAGGGCCTCCCACAATGAGAGCTGGAGACCAATCCCCCACTCCACACATACAGAGCTGATGATGATGGGAGGAAAGCAAGGGAAAGGGACAAAAGATGCAAAAAGAGAAAGGAGGGGTGGAGGAATAGGGAAAAGAAAAGAAAACAAAAAAGAACCATGTCCCCAGTGATTCTCAGAGACAAAGTCTTAGGTGGAAAATACAATACTGACATCTCAATCCA